ATTCCCATGTTATCTTATATTATTAGTTAGAATAGTAAGATCAAAATCGTATCAAATATTTTCAATACCTTTTGTTGCATAAAATTTAATTTTATAAATTTTAGATTTTATTTAAAAAGTATGTTAAAATCAAAACAATATAAAAATTAACAAATAAGAATCTAATAAAAAATCGAGAAAATTGGAGAGAAAGAGAGCGAGAGCGAGTGGACCAAAATAGCGATTCTGCTTCACGCCTCGCTGATTGTCGTTGACTGGTCTCCGTCGCCTCAATGGATCATCGGAAAGATTCTTCACTCACCCAGCCCCCTCTCCTAGGGAAACCCATCGACCCCTCCGCAACTTCTGCTCAACCTGATATCTCCCCCTACCACCCACCAGACCTCTTCCTATCTCAGGGACCGGGCTACTCCCACCCCTCCGCAGTCCCCAACAGCCACCTCCCCCACCTCACCTCCCCACTCTTCTTCCCCGCTTCTAATCCCCCCATTCCCCTAAACCAAAACCCTAATTTAGGGGTTTTCAAACCAAAACCCTAATTTAGTGGTTTTCCCCTCTTCCGATTTTTCCCTCGCTTCCTGGTTCTTCTCCGCTGACCGGACCTCTTGATTCTCAAATGTTTCGGTTCTCAGCCAAGCTGAAGCACATTAAAAATCATTTCTGTAGCCTAAACTGATTGGAGTTCAGTGATATCCAGCTTCGTGCCAAGGAGGCTTTGGAGGACCTTTATCGTGTACAGGTTGCGCTTTTTGAGAACCCCACATCCGAAGCAGCGCAGGATGAAGCGACTAGTCGAGCCTCTTGGGTTAGATTGACAGGTGCATAGGAATCACTCCATCGCCAAAAATCGAGAGTCAAATGGATCAAGGAGGTCGACCAAAATATTAAGTTCTTCCATCGGATGGTCGTGGCTTAAAAGTATACTAACTCTATTCGGTTTCTTGTCAATGATGCAGGTCAAAAAACGTATGATATCTGGGTGATGAAACAAATGGTGGTGATTACTGATTTACCTCCCACGCGTGTGCTGCAGGGTTTGATATTATGAAATAAAAAATACTATACACATTGCTGTAAAGAACGAAATTTTGGGGAAAATGATAAATATTGATGTTTTTACACGAATATGGATGATTATGAAGATTGTTACACATCTATTTGCATTCGGTACAGTGTTTTTTGGGAAAAGAATGAAGATGGAATATTTGAATGGAAAGGGGAGGAAGACAATCGGAAGACTATATGTGTCTGTAACAAAGCAAATCAGGTGACATATGAGGAGCTTGTTCGATGTATATGTGATCAGCTTAAAATGGAATTAGCGACACCAAAATTAAGTTTTTTTACCGATGGTCGTTGATGGAAAACAACCGGAATATATATTTGACGATATGGGTGTAAAATCCTTTTTGTTCAGCAAGACAAATGGGTGACGAGGATGGATATATGTCGAGCAAAAGGATGATGATGAATGCGTTGCATGTAATACGTGTGTAGGTGAAGCTAAGGGTGGAGATATTGCAAATACCAAAGAAGGTAGAGATATAATTGAGACATGCAGTTTAGTTGTGGATTGTGTGTTAGGAAGAGTAGATGGAGAAGATAGAGAACATAATCACGATACATTGTTTGGAGATTCTTGTCGGGTTGAGCATCGGACTTTGCATGAGGACATACGACATGACAATGAAGTGGAACCTGTGACTAACGAAATTGGAGTTGAAATTACGACTCAGATGGGTAATATAGATGAAGCAGAGATATTTAATGAAGTTGAGAATGGTGGTCGTGAAGATTTCTCATTTGAAGACAGAATGGGTTTTACGGTGGGTAAAGAATTTCTGAAAAAGGTCGAGTTAACGATGAAAGTAAAGAAAGCTTCACATGATTCATGTTTCGAATACTACGTTTATAAGTCAGATCGACATGTATGGGAAGCAAGATGTCGATTCCGAGAAAAAGGTTGCATATGGAAACTGCGGGCATTTAAAAAAAAAGAATTCGCATGGTTTTGTAGTGACAAAGCACGTTAACGTTCATACATGCTTGCATGTACTTGAAGAAGAGAAAGAAAGAGTTTGAAGTATAGACATGGTTGTTAATTACTTGAACCGTCATTACGCGAGTCAAGTTGATCTTCCAAGAGTGAAAATGGTGATGTCATTGGTGTGTAAAACATATAAGTGCAAGATATCGTACCTAACGACATGGAGAGGGAGACAAAATGCGATTGATGGTGTTTGGGGAAACCCGAGCGAAAATTATAGGAGACTTCCAAGTTATTTTCATATGTTGAAGGAAAGAAATAAAGGCACGGTTACACATATTCAACTTAAAGAAGACGAGCAAACTTTTAAGTATGCCTTTTTTGCTTTGGGTGTTTGTATCAGAGGCTGGATTGCAATGCGAAAAGTAATCGGACGCAACATATTTGAAGACAACTTATAAAGGATTTTTTATTGTCGCAACAGTCCAAGATGGAAATCAACATTTATATCCCCTTGCTTTTGCCGTAGTTGATTCAGAAAATGATGAATCTTGGAATTGGTTTATGATGAAGTTGGTTGAAATAATTCCTGATAGCGATGATATGGTTGTTATCTCAGATAGACATCAAAGCATAACGAATGTCGTCCGCAGTGTGTATAGGAGAGCTAAACACGCATATTGTGCATATCACATATCCCAGAACATCAAGACATTGGTCAACAAAGGAGTATGAGGTAAAAGGAAGAAACAAAGATAAACTGTTGCTGGGTTATTCTATAAATGTGCAAAGTGTTATACAGAGAAGGAGTTCCAAGCATTATGGGAGGAATTCACGGAAAAGTATGAGTTTTGGAAATCTGATTTGTATTATTAGTTGTATAAATTCTATTGACTTATTGTAAGAAGTGACCATATTATGATTTCAAATGCAGGTTTCCTACAGTGGCTGAATATTTGAACAAAAGTGTGGAACCTACGAAATGGGTGAGATGTTACTTTCCCGGAGAAAGCTATAACCTATTGACAACCAATGGTGCATAGTCTATCAATTCTGTGTTGAAGAAGGCGAGAACACTACCTTTGCTCGGTTTGATTAATGTGATTGTGAATAAAATAATGGAGTGGTGGTGTAAGCGCAGGAACCGAGCATTTTCAAGTACTCAGGAATTAACACCGTATGTTTCCAAGAAACTGCATCAACGATATAGAACTTCGAAGGTATTTACTGTCAAGGAGATAAATCGGAATTGGAAGGAATATGAAGTGACTGATGACGAGGGAAAGACATATTTTGTTGATCTAGAGAAGAAGTGTTGCGAATGTAAGGTGTGGGACATTAAAAAATACCCATGTTGTCATGCAATAAAAGCGTTGCATGAACACGGTGAAAAAGATAAGCTACTTGACTATTGTTCACCATATTACACTAGAGCCACATGGGAATTGGCATATGCTGATTCTGTTTACCCAGTTTCTGATGTTTCTCGTTGGAGTATTCCTAACTATATAGCGGAGATAAGAGTCAACCCTCCTGCTATGAAACATCGAGGTCTTGGCAGACTAGCAACGAAGAGGATACCAAGTGCTGGAGAAAAACGTCGAAAGAAGAAGTCGAGGATGACTTCGTCCTGTAAATCTGATTTGAATGAGCCACAATCGAAGAAAAGGAAGAATAGTGATGGAAACGGAGTGCAATTAGAAGATGAAATGTGAAACACAACATATGTTGAGCATTTCATCGGTTAATTGTTACCATTTTTTGTAGGCGATTGAATCGCTATTGTGATATGATTTTTTTGATAATTTTTGGGATGTATTTTGGGATGTATTGACTAGTCTGTACGTTTGTTGAAAAATCATGTATGGTCGTAAATAAGTAGCAATGCATAAGTTACACAAAAGAAATATTGAAAAAGTAGTTGAAAATGTCAAAAAGTTAAAATATCAAAAATTAAAACCGTCAAAATATAACTAAAGTAAAAACAAAGCAATACATTAAGACAAAAATTCAAACTGTAAAAAAGTAATTGAAGTCAAAGACTCAAAACGCCAACAAAGTCAAATGTCTGATATCTCGAAAAACGAGAACAACTAATATGTTACAATTTAATTACCACTTATTTGTCACTTCGTGAATCAACACAAATTTGATGTAAGACATATGTTTTCTCAAAATTTCTTTGATGAATGATGTTTATTATATTAATTATATCACCAGAAAGAGTTTCTAAACACAAATAATTAGTTAGAACAACTCAACGAATAAAACAAGTAAAATAGTCAAAACGATATGGATTTGTCTGATTCTGTTAAAACTATTTTATTATGACTTACGTACGACTTATTTGCGACTTCGCATATCAACTAAAATTTCTGAATCAAATTTGTATTTTGTCGATAAGGAATACACAGATGAAGAATATAAACAAATTATACGAAGAGAATTAGTTCTAGGTCACAAATTACAAATTAATTAAAATTTTGTATATTTGTTGATATGTAACACTAAATATATATTAATTAAATACTCATATTCATCTAAATTACATGAAATGAATCAAAATTCAAAATTAATTGAAATTTATTAAAAATATTTATTCAAATCGATTAATATCATTTTATTTGATGAATTTCATCATCATTTGATGAAATTAAATCCAAATTCGCGATTTTTTTAACAAATTTACAAAATTTCTATGGTGGCAAATAAGTCGTAATTCAGTCGTAAAAAGGTGGTTGTGGCCGATTCCCAAGACAAAATTAAAGAATCCTCATATGGTTGGACCCACTTTCCGTAGGTCTTTTGTCCACGTGTCTTTTAATATTATTTTAGATTTTGACCTTTTTATGCACGTTTGCTTCTCGAATAAAAGCGATTCAATTACGACCATTTTTATTTATCACAATTGCCATTCGTTATTTACAACACTTGTTTAGTAGTATATGCCACTTCTTATACTTAATTTGTTTATAGACAAGTTTGAAAACATATGAAGTAATACTATTTTTTGTCACGATAGAGGAGTCACCTGCAAAAATCAATGCCAAATAAAATACCACATGTTCACACAAATCACACATGATAAACCGAGTTCACACATACAAAATATCACAAACCGAGTTCACACATACAAAACAACATAAACCGAGTTCACGAATACTAAACATCACAAATCTAGTTCACACATATTAAACATCAGAATCCAAGTTCATCATTAACACATATAAGATCAACATTCACAAACCTCTTCCTCCTCGTCCTCTTCCTCCTCGACTTCTTCCTCCTCGGCCTCTTATGATTCCACCCTTCGAGTTGATAGTCTTCAAAGTATCAGCCCATGGGCTTTTGGTTTTTGTCGAGGTTTTCTTTCTCCTCGGCCTCGGACTTTGGGTCTTAGACGAGGTTTTTTGGTCTTCTATTTTTTCATCTCCTTCTTCACTCTCTTCTTCATCTTCACCATCTTCTTTCTCATCTTCATCATCATCATCTTCACCTTCCTCTCTCTCTTTGTCTACTTCTTTCTCAGGCTCGTTCTCTCCCTCTTTCTGAGCTACATTCACTCCTTCTTCCTCTCCCTCTTTCTCAGCCTCTTCCTCAACCTCTATCTCAGCTACGTTCACTCCCTCTTCCTCTCCCTCTTTCTCAGCCTCGTTCTCTCCCTCTTGCTCAGCCTCGTTTTCTCTCTCTTTCTCTCCCTCTTTTTCAGCTAATGTGTTAAGAACATCATAAATTACCATGTTCGGTTCATCAATCACATCTTCTCCATGCACACATGTCTCGGGAGGCATTGTTGTACATTTAGTTGAAGTCTCACCCTTTTCAAACCCACCCATAATCTCGGTCATCTTCTGAATCAAAGAGTCGCTTCTAGCATCGACTTCAAAGGGATTTTCGTATTTTCCTGGGATTGTCGTATTTTCCAGCTGCGATTATACCAGCCACAACCACTTTCTTCATATTTTCAATAACTTCCTCATGAAATTTCTTCATCTGTGCACTTTGACCTTCAATCGCTGCGAAGAACTTATTTTCTATCTCACACAACGTCCTTCTTGTCACCTCAACCTTTGAACTCATGTACCTCATTTCAGATCTCAACATGGTCAGCTCGAGACCGAGGCGGTGTCGTTCTTTGTTCATTTCTTCTTCTTCTTCTTCTTCTTCTTCTTCTTCTTCTTCTTCTTCTTCTTCTTCTTCTTCTTCTTCTTCTTCTTCTTCATTCTCCATTACACGTCTTTTGCCTTTATCAGTTTTTCCTCTTTTTTTTTTCTGTTTTTCTAGCTAAAACAACCGCTTTCCTTTTTTATGCTTCTTCAACAATGGAATTTTGATGCTAGATCTCACATCATCCTCAAGTATATCATTCCACTTCACAGATTTGGAATCGTCCATCAAATAAGATATCCAACAATCAATAAGAGCATCTTCTTCTTCGTTCCTCAATGAGACACCAGTAAGTAAATCTGTTTCACCATCTGATGGTTGTAGATAACTCTCAATGTCCTAAAACTTTATGAACAAAAAATTAATACAACTACAAAATAATTATTTCATTAATGTTTCATCAGAAATATACCTGTGTCTTGCCAAGCTTTGCCAATCCTTGTTTCATTCAATATTTTTTGTTCGGGATGAATGTTCTTTTACACATCCGTGGACAGGCTTCAGTCACATTCCCTTCCAATTTCACATCACTGTACCATCCATCGCTGTGAAGTTTAGGAATGCATTCGAAGGGTAGCATCTGCAAAGTCAACCACAAAACATTAACTATGTATTACTTCATATCTCACAATTTTATCAATTAATCAAAATCACTTACAGTGAGGGGGATAATGAAACCTGGTAAATTCCACTGATTTACCGGTTTCCTGTGCTTGTTCAGCTAGTTATGCACAAAAGACAGGACATTATTGAAGCTAAACGTTCCCCATAGAAATGCTTCACAACACTCCACGTCATCAACTATCTTTAGCAAAAAGGGATTAACATATTCCGAATGTTGGTGCCCTATCACATAACTTAGCACCACCAGATATGCCATCTTCAATCTATCCTTTTTTCATCCTTCGTGAATTTCGAAAACTTATCCAAAACTTGTGACTTCGAAACTTTTTCAAACGTTTCTTGACCAAAGTGTTTCTTGTAGAAATTGATCCCTCCAAGTCTTTCCCAATTCTTAGGCAATTCACTGCACTTTAATCCACATAGAATTGCATGTTCCCACAAGGAGTATCTAATGGGGACTCCATTAATGACGAACCACAACTCACTTTCCCTCTTCGTTTTCACCGCGCGATTGATGAGCGCCACCATTAGACTCATCTTCAAAGATTGTTTCCTCTTCATATGGAATATATGCCTAAATTGAGATTTTTCCGTGAAATGCTTCATCTCTTCTTCGGTGAAATGATTTTCTAGAAAATCTACTGCTTCGATGTGAAAACACTTGGAAGATACTTTCACCGATATTTTATTCATATCATCAAAATCATAGTAAAATTCTGGTTTCGGTGGAGTCTCCATCTCGCTCCGCAATAAAACAAGTCTATTCAGTTGTATTAACGACTAATATATACAAATTCAAATACTACTACGTTTAAACGACATTGCACCAAACACTTATGTAATTTCTAGTGGCACCTACGACTCTTCACAGACATAAAACTTTGCAAATAAGACTAAATTATATACACACACAAAACACTTCGTAATATTTCATTTCAACCCTCAATCATCACATAATCTGAATCTTTTCACTATATTATGCTCCCACACTAAAACTCTATATTTGAGAATACATATATCTGAAAAGGGGTAATCACATAAAAATACCCAAACTTTTACAAAAATCCCAAATAAATAGGCGAACTATAAAATTTTTATATAAATACCTGAACTTTTCAAAACTCCCATATAAATACCCAGACTTTTAAATTTTTTCAAATCAAACAAACGCAACTGCTGACTCAGCAAAAGACTGCTGACTCAACAAAAAAAACTGA